GTTTGGTAATTAAACATTTATTGGACTTTCTACAAGACAAATATGCTCTTTTTTTTAATGGACTAGACTGCTAATTGTGCATATACATAGCAGCAGTATTCTTTAATTTCAAGAGAGACCAGTGAGGTAATCAGTATTCTGATCTCAAACTACATTCTCAATTAAGACTTTTCTGAAAGGAAAACCATTCATTATCTGCATCTGAAAGGTCAGGTAAGGTTAAAGAATTGTTCAGTCAGGATAATGAATTGTTAGATAAACTGATTACCATATGAATTTTTACTTTTGAATTTTTAACTGCAACCAGGCAGACTCTCGCTCCTTTAAAAACAAACATGCCATAGAAATAGTTAGTATAGTGAAGAAGGGAGATGAGAAAGGGAATAATAAATAAATTAGAAAAACAAAACTAAGACTTGCCAATTTTTCTTGTTGCTTATAATAGATACTCAGTGCCTTATCTGATTTTATACCCTGTTGAGTTTTTTTTATTTTGTATTATTCAACGTGCTCAATTTGGGAACAAAAATCAGCAATTGTCCTATGTAATGTCCTTTTGTTCATTATTGAATGGTTCATGTTGGCTGTCCACTCGAAGGAAGGTGATTTGAGAATTAACTTTTTGAAGAGACTTTTACCTCAGTCTCACACACCTGTCAGAGTTTGCTTCCTACATTGTCAAAAGAAATCACCATTTAATTTTAAGGACCTTTATAATTAACCCAGTAATAGACCACAGGAGCCCAAATGGGCTTTGCCTCAGTGAGCTATATACAATATATTCACTTTCCGATCTCTTCCTCATGTCCAACCCATGGTGCTGCAGTCTTATTCAAAGAGCAATAAACATAGGCTTCGAATCCTCTCCAGAACAAGAACAGAATCCCATTCTGTGAGCATCAATCTGATCTAGATTAGCCATTCAGTCAATTGTGCCAACCACAAGGCTTCATTAACTGTGCAAGAAAATATTCCTGTAAATAATAGGATAACTGCTTCTATGATTAATTCCAGTCACAGGATGATCTAAAAGCAAAGTTCCAGATGTACACCACAAGCAACTGCACTTCTAACTAAATTCAAAGCTACTCGTGTTTTTCTTCATTGCACTTCAAGAACTGTATTTCAAAGAGCATTTCTGAAAAATAGATATATTTTTTCAAAGCTTTTAATCTTGCACTCATGAGGACAATTCGTGATATCAATATCCATTTCTGAAAAATAGACACATTTTGTCAAAGTTTTTAATCTTGCACTCATGAGGACAATTCGCAATATCAATATCAGCAGAGGCGATGGACTTGTGGGATTATTGCTAGACTATTAATCTAGAAACTCAGCCGATGTCAGGTGACAACAGTTCAAATCCCATCAAGACAGATGGGTTTGAATTGAATAAGATATCTGGAATTGAGAATCTACTTATGACCATGAAACCATTGTCAATTTTTGGTAAAACCCATCAGACTCATTAATACCCTTCAGGGAAGGAAATCTGGCTTGGCCTACATGTGACTTGAGATCCACAGCAATGTGGTTGACTCTCAATTGCCCTCTGAAATAGCCTAGCAAGCCACTCAGTTGTATCAATTGCTATGCAGTCTCAACAAAGAAATGAAACTAGACAGACCACCTGGCGTTGGCATTGGCACCAGAAAAGACAACGGCAGAAACAGCTCTGTCAACCCTGCAAAGCTCTCCTCCCTAACACCTGGGGATAGTGCCGTACTCATTCTCATAGAATCATACCTTAGAGACAATATCCTAGACACCACCATCACCATCCCTGGATATGATCTGTCCCATTGGCAGGACAGACCCAGCAGAGATCATGACACAGTGGTGTCATGGGAATCCTCAACATTGACTTTAGACCCTGCGAAGTCTCATAGCCTCAGGTTAAACATGGGCAAGGAGATCTCCTACTGATTACCACGTACCATCCTCCCTTGACAGATGAATCAGTACTCCCCCATATTATACAACATTTGGAAGAAGCAATAAGAGTGACAAAGTGCAAAACGTACTCTGGCTGTGGGATTTCAGTCTCCACCCACTACTGATCGAGTTGGTCTGATCTGAAAGGACATAGCTGCTAGACAGAATCTGTTGCAGGTGGTGAGCGAACCAACAAGATGAAAAAGCCTATTTGACCTCATCCTTACTAATCTGCAGGCTGCATCTGTTCTTGACAGTGTTGGTAAGAGTGACCACCGCACAGCTCTTGGGCACATTAAGTATCTCCTTCATATTGAGAATAGCCTCCATCATGTTGTGTGGCACTGTCACCGTGCTAAATGGGACAGACTTTAAACAGATCTAGCAACTCAAGATAGGGCATCCATGAGACACTGTGGGCCATCAACAGCGCAATCTGTAACCTCATGGCCCGGCGTGTCCCCCACTCAACCACTATTCTCAAGCCAGGGGATCAACCCTGGTTCAATAGAGAGTGCAGGAGGGCATGCCAGGAGTAGCACCAGGTAGAACTGAAAATGAGGTGTCAGTGTGGTGAAACTACCACGCAAGACGACTTGCATGCCAAACGGCAGGAGGGCCGAGTGATAGAGGTAAGTGATCCCACAATAAACAGATCAGTTCTAAGTTCTGCTGTCCTGCCACATCCAGTTATGAATGGTGGTGAACAATTAAACAACACATTGGAGGAGAAGGCTTCACAAATATCCCATCCTCAATGATGGAAGAGCCCAACACATCAGTGCAAAAGATAAAACTGAAGCATTCGCAACAATCTTCAGCCAGAAATGCCAAGTGATGATCCATCTTGGCTTCTTCTAGTGGTTGCTAACATTACATATAACAGCCCCTAGCCATTTCGATTCACTCCACGTGACATCAAGAAACAGTTGGAGGCATTGGATACTGCAAAGTCTACAGGCCCTGGTAACATTCTGGCAATAGTACTTAAGACTCTAGAACTTGCTTGCTCTGAGAAATGAGGTGGTGAATGAGTCCACTTGTCTTGTTGGTTTGAAATGTACACAATGTGTGTACACGTTCTTCCTCCCTGCAAAGAAGAGGACCACTGTGTATTAATATAATACACAGCAAGTCTGTCATGCTATGAGGCCTGAGTGACAATCCTAAATTGGTTGTCAGCATAATACTTCTTACACTCGGGATTATTTAGCAAATGTTGTCCAATTGCAGAATCACATCTACTGTTGGACACTCTTGTGAGATTTGCAAGCATTAGCCGAAGGAATATGCTGTTTAGTACCACTTATCAGTCTTTATGATATACAGTCTGCATATCTAGCATCATAAATATAATGAAATTCAAATTCAACATTATTCATTTGTGTTTCAGACAGAATGTTATTTTGGTTTGATGGAGGCATCCTGTTAAGAGCGAATGCTTTATTTGCATTATATGTCCATTTGAATTCTGAAATAAGGTTTCATTTAGTTTGTCTCCATCACATGACATTTTCTTTTCATTTCTGTTGGGTGCAAGTCCTTTCGCTGAATTTATTTTTCAATTAATTACCACCAGAATTGTAAAATTCTATTCTCCATTTGTTCCTGCCATCATCAAACTACTTACCACAGTCTGACTAAGTGAACAAGAAAATTATATCTTTAAAACCCTAACCAAATATATATCTGCATGGGTTAACAGAAAGATTTTGGAACATTAATCCACCTGGATCTTGTATTGATTGTCCCTCCTATGAGAATGCAAGTTTCTTTTTTACCTTTTCAAGTGTTAAAATTAGAATGTAGCAAAGTGATATCTTAAGAGTCCTGAGCCAATGTAATCAGGACAGTAGGTCAGTGTTCATGCCATTGTGTATAGGCTAATAAACTGTGTGCGAGCAGCAATAGGCAGAACAGTTTGGGTGCATGGAAGTTGGATTTTTATTTTAATAAGTTGAAAATGTAGGAAAATAGTTCAAAACATAGGAAGAAGGATCCAAGGTATTCTACACGTTTCATGACCCAAGGAGTATGAGTAAGCATTGGCAAAATTCATCTAAATAAAAACCAAAAGAACTGTGGATGCTGTAAATCAGGAACAAAAACAAAGTTGCTGGAAAATCTCAGCAGGCCTGGCAGCATCTGTGGAGGAGTAAACAGAGTTAACGTTTCGGGTCCGGTGACCCTTCCTCAGAACTGATGGTGGCTGGGAAAACGTCAGTTTATATGCAGAAAATAGGGAGGTGGGTGGGGTAGGGAGTAAACGATAAGATAGAGCCCAAAGAGAGAGAAAGACAGTTAGACAGACAAAGGAGTTGCTAACGGTCCGGCTGGGAGGGTGAGTAGTTGTTAATGGGGACTGTTAGTGACTAACAACAGAGGGTGTATAGTGGCAGGCTGTGCGGTAACAAGGCCTGGTGTGTGGGGTGGGGGGCTGGGACATGGCAGAGTTTAGGCCCTAAAATTATTGAACTCAATATTGAGTCCGGAGGGCTGTGGGGTCCCCAAGCGGAAAATGAGGTGTTGTTCCTCCAGCTTGTGTTGGGCTTCGCTGGAACACTGTAGCAAGCCGGAGACAGAGATGTTGGCCAGAGAGCAGGGTGGTGCATTGAAGAGGCAGGCAACAGGTAGTTCAGGGTCTTTTTTGCGAGCAGAACGTAGATGTTCTTCAAAATTCATCTGTTGCTTTCAACAGACTGCCCAGAAGAACAACATATAACAGTAACTATAAAACTATTGTTAGAGACAGAGATGCAAAATTACGACATAGAGAATAAATGAGCAGATTTATGTATCAGTTGCTTGAACTATAAATGTATTCAGACCATGCCTAAACACAGCCTGAATTCCATTTCATTGTTGTCCTGTGTAGACACTAATTTTGCTGGAGGTTAGATTAATACTTGGATTATCATCCATACTCCAGCAACATGCTAACTATAATTTTGAACATTCATAGAGACCTTTACATGAAAGTTAAGACATATGATGTGTTTTCTGCTGAACTAAACATATTACTCCCAGTCAGATTGATGACATTTTCTCGCATTCCTTTCCAGGCAGGGATGATCGCCTTGTTGTTGGCAATTTTGTTCCTCGTTATGATTCTCTACACTCGGCGGAGATGGTGCAAGCGGCGCCGTGTCCCACAGCCCCAGAAAAGTGCCAGTGCAGAAGCAGCAAATGAAATCCACTACATCCCATCTGTGCTGATGACTGGCCAGACTCGGGAGAGCCTGCGGAACACCCGACCGCAGGGCCACAACTCCAGCGGCTCCATCAGCATCCGGGAAACGCCCATACTCGACGGATATGAGTACGACATTGACGACCTTCGCCAGCAGCTGCAGAGGGAGTGCATGAATGGCGGGGAGGATTTTGGCAGCCAGGTGACACGCACCTTGGATTCTCTTCAAGGTTGTGATGAGAAAACCTGCCTGGATCTCACCCCAGGTCTGTACCAGTGCGCTGCTTCGCCGAGAATTGGATTTGTTGGGTGAATTTGCTGGTATAATTGGCTCATCTGAAGTGCTTGGTGATACCATTATCAGTGTACACATATTGCAGCTGCGATGAGTAAAGGTGACGATGCAAAACTCATGTGAGCACCTTATCTCAAAAGATTGTCTGCACCACGTTATAGGTTTCACTCAGAACTGTAACTTCCCATTCTTGAGTGCATGCCAAGAAAGATCTGAAGAATTTTTTTAATGTATCTTTTGCGCTGACTGGTATTCTCTAATTTTACATTAGATTTGCAGATTTTGCATTATTTTTAGGAGGGTTACACAATGGGCTGACTCACATTTTGTGGGTACATTTTTGGAGGTTTTGGCAATTTAGAAAATATGGTACTAGTTTCAAGTGGTGGAAGATAATATGATAGGGCCCATTTGTACCTTTATGGATAGTAGGAACTGCAGATGCTGGAGAATCCGAGACAACAAGGTGCAGGGCTGGATGAACACAGCAGGCCAAGCAGCATCATAGGAGCAGAG